ATCCAGACATATTTTTTAATCAAAAAGGATAATGTCCGATTTATTTCGAATTTTGGGCTTTCCGATTGTTTTATATTGTATAACGAGGATGTTTTTAAGTCTATTAACAGATTAGTACGAAAAAAAAAATTATCGAATGCAGCATACGTATTGGATATAGAATTATAATTTGTGGAATAGTTGGTTAATAGTAGAAAAAGTATTGGCGAAGGTTTTGGTGAGTATGCTATCAAGCTCCATAGCTCCGGATATATCAGACTTAGACCTTAGGCAATGATATATGGGAAACGATACGTCGTTCCCCTACCAACACTTAGGGCAGATACGAGGTATATCTTTTAAGTTTTGCATATGGAAATAAAACAACACGGTAGGTAGTTTTAAATGACTTTATTGTTTTTCGAAGTATTTTCCACGAAGATTAATACACATCTGCATGCGCTTGAACCAATTTTCGAAGAACTTATTCCACTCGTTTTCTGGCAGATTCAAAACGGCATTTTTGAATGCGTCAACTGCTTCTTCTGTGTGACTGGAACCTTTGACCACGCAGTCTGTTTTTAATGTTCGGGAAAGTAAAGAAATCGTTAGGACTTAGATCGGGACCACTCGTATATGGAGGATGGTCCAATAATTCCACGTTTTCTTCCGTTAAATACTGCCTTGTTTTTTGGGCTGTGTGCGAGCTTGCATTGTCTTGGTGGAGGATGATTCTTCTTTCGGGGTTGATTTTTCGAAGCTCGGTGATGACTTTTGGCAAACAAATGGTGGTATACCAATCCGCAGTAACAGTTCTTTGCTCACTAAGAGGAATTGTTGCAATATAACACCTCGAGAACGGATGACTTTTGTTGGCTTTTCTTCACCTTGGAACACCCAAACAGCCTACTGTCGTTTATTTTCCGGTTCATAACGGTAAATCCACGATTCATCACCACTAACAATGCTGTACACATTTTTTGAGTTTCCGGAATTGAAACGGTCAAGCGTTTTTTGACACCAATTAACCCTGGCTGCTTTCTGCTATTCAGTCAACAGGTGGGGTATTCAACGAGAAACTAATTTTCTTACTCCTAATTCTTCATGTAAAATTTTTTGAATTGAGGTCTTTGAGATCTTCAAGGACGCCTCAATCTCGCGATATGTCACATGTCAATCTTCAATGATGAGTTTGCGCACAGCATCGACGTTTTCCTGGGTGACTGCCGGTTTTGGTGCACCCACCCTGGAATCGTCGCTAAGACTCACCCGTCCCCGTTTGAATTCTCCATACCCACGGGAAATTGTCGACTGATGTGGCGCTTCGTTGAAGAAAGCAGATAGTAACTCAGCAAGGCATTCTTGTTGCGATAATTGTCTCTGAAAGTTGTAATAAATTATGGCGCGAAAATGTTTTCGGTTGAGTTCCATTTTCCCAATGACTTGGTGACACTTAAAAATTCACTGTAGTGAGAACACTGCACGTATTTTTGTGAAACTTTGAATGTAAGTTTACTAAAGGGTGAGGTTAAGATTCAGTACTGACGTTCGATCCGCACGGCCTACTATGTTTCTATATGCAAAACTTAAAAGACATCCCTCGTAGCTTTTCAGCAGTTTTTTGACACATGATACATCATGCCCTTGTTCAATCATTCCTGTCTTACTAGTAATTATTTTAAGAAGATCAAAATTACGCAGATGTGAATTTTGGAGGTTATGTTAAACAAAAATAAATGTTTACCACAGTTTTAGAACAAATCAATGAAACATCAGCAACCAATCCCCAGACTAAATAAAACTTTTAGCCAAAGATCATTCTACTGGGCTCAAAATTTTCCAATGTTATTCCTGAAAACTTTAAGCAATAAACTGTAAGAAACGTTTTAAATTTGAACTAAAGTTATGGTCCTTAAACCTACCAAGGTTACAAGTTTCTAAGCTTGTAGACATCAAAAATCAATTTTCATGAATTGATGCGTTTTCTACATTTGACTAGTAGACTTACAGGAAGTTTGTTGTATTTATATAATTCATAAGAATTTAAGTTTACTAAAGAGTGAGGTTAAGGTTCAGTTCTGACGTTCGATCCGCGCGGCTTACCATGTTTCTATACGTATATGCAAAACGTATGATCTCTTTTCATGCTTAGGAAGTAGAAAGGAGCTGTTCATTCTACAGTAGTCTGTGAGAGCCCCCTCCACAAGATTGAGCGATTCCCTTTGCCCAGTAGCTGTTGTTTTTCGGGTTGGCTTGCCTGAGTCATTTCTCTCGCCAAACCTTTTTTAAGGTCACTGCATGCCTATCCATTTAATGCGACGTTAGCTTAACACCTGCTCGAGACTAATGGAGAAGCTCCTGGCCCCCAGCCTAGTCAGGTAGCCTGCTCTCTCAACACCAGGTAGTCCACCATGTCTGGGAACCCGAAGCACAGAGTTGGCCAAACAGAAAAAGAGTTGTGTAATTTAGATACTGTCACGAATAGTTTCGTCTTTCTGCACACGCAATGAAAAACTACTCACCTTTTCACGGTTTATTGACTCAAAAGCTCACAAAACTTAACCTACCACTCTACAGTTCTTTATATAGAGTGTTCGAAAAATAGACGGTGATATTTTAGAGGGTTATGCCTTGTTAAAAAAATATGAAAAAAAGTTTCTATAAACATGGGTCCTGAAATGCAAAGTTTCCAAGATATAGGTAGGGTGATAAATATTTTTGTCTTTTTTTTAATGATATCTTAAAAAATATTTACCAACTTTGCGAAACATATTAATGGATCTAGAAACTTGTGATCCTCATAGCAGCAGCGGTGTCCTGGCATTTAGGCTTCTGCCTTCGTGTCTGCTTCAACGTAAATAAAATACTAACTGACAACATATCTAGCGAACTAAAGTTGATGGCCTAACGCACTTTACAGGGTATTACAATACTATATAGGGTGTTCCTTAATGATATGCGAATATTTAAGGGTGTGAATCTACATGTTAGTTTGCCTTATAAACTACGGTCCAAAAATGTTTCCTTACAAAAACTCGGGGTGTTGAAGTTTTAGGAAAAAAAAATGGAAATTAATTAATATTTTCAGAACCGCTTCACATATTTTACTGATATTTAGTACGTAGTGAAAGTTAGTTGCATATTTTTCAATGCAAAAATAATTTTTAGCTTTAACAGTGGTGTGCGTACGGGTATTGACTTCGATATTTTTTAAGAAAAAAATGGTACGCCAATAGGTTTTTGGGAAATAAAACATATTTTTGAATTCCCCGTTCAATTTAAAACCAATTATCTCTCTTAAATTGTTTTCCTTCGATGTGCCATTTTTGAGTAAAAAAATAAAAACCGTTCTATTGTCCGAGAATATATGCAATAATTGAAGAATGCAATTTAGCAATAAATACCTAGTTGCTCTGGAATATGTCACTGGCTTTAGACATCTAACAAGTGTCTATTGTTCAGATCTGTTCGCTGTGACATCTTTTTCATTATTTGGTTTTTACAATATTGTTAATAATGGTGAATTATTCAAAGCAGAAATGGCGAAAATGCATTACGTATATGGCTTTGCCGACGGTAATGGTGAGCAAGCCAGATGGATTTATCACCAGAGATATCCCGATCGTGCTTTTCCAGATAGTCGAACCTTTTCTAATATTCATCGTCGTCTTGTTGAAACTGGTTCTGTCCGAAAAGGAACATCTGAAGGTAGACCTCTAAGTGTGAGAACACCTGAAATTGAGGAAGCAGTGCTGCACGAAGTCGAAGAACATCCTGAAACGAGTACGAGGAGGATCGCTAGACACTTATAGTAAATATTTGCCATCAAATTGTTTGCAGAATTTTACTGGCTTTTTTGCTATATCCTTAGCATATTTTAAGGGTACAGGCATTACTTCCCATTGACTTTCCAAGGCGTGTGACCTTTTGTCAGTAGTATCTTCAAAAAATTACTCAAAATCCGCAATTTGAATCAATGTACACGGACGAAGCTAATTTTTATCGAAATGCCATTCAGAATTTCCACAATAACCATTTGTGGGCAGAAGAAAATCCCTATGCCGTAACCGAAACCCATTTCCTACACCAATTTTCGGTTAACGTATGGGCAGGAATTATTGGCAACCACTTTATTGATGGTGCACCAGCGCATTTTAGTGTAGCGTTTCGTAATTATTTACAAACTGTTTATCCAAATCGTTCGATTGGCCCCGGTGGGCCCCAAGAATATCCACCAAGGTCCTCAGACCTCAACAGTTTAGATTTCTTTTTGTGGGCTATCTTAAGACACTAGTGTACACAAGTCCCATTAACACTGTAGAGGAATTAAGAGAAAGAATAGTTGCAGCTTATGATAGAATAAAGAACACTCCAGGAATATTTCAACGAGTGCACAATTCGATGATAAGGTGGGCGGAAGCATGCATACTAAGTGAAGGGGCCATTTTCAACAATTTTTGTAATAATTTCATTGGTTTTAATGCCACGTTTATGTTGTCAGCTGTTGTTGTTCATTACCCCTAATGTGTTTAATTTTTCCAGTTGAATTAATAATAATTTTGCAAGTTAGGCAATAGAACGGTTTTTATTTTTTTACTCAAAAATGGCGCATCGAAGGAAAACTATTCACGACAGATAATTTGTTTTAAATTGAATGAGGAATTCAAAAATGATTTTTATTTGGCATAAAACTATTTTTTTCTTTAAAAATATCGAAGTCAATACCCGTACGCACGCCACTGTTAAAGCTAAAAATTATTTTTGCATTGAAAAATATGCAACTCTATTAGTTTTCACTACGTACTGAATATCAGAGACATATCTGAAACGGTTCTGAAAATATTAATTAATTTCCATTTTATTCCTAAAACTTCAACACCCCGAGGACAAATTTTTGGACCATGATTTATAAAGCAAACTAACATTAATCTTTAATGTAGATTCACACCTTTAAATATTCGCATATCATCAAGGAACACCCTGTAGACACCTACTAATAAGTAAACTCCTTAACTTTTTTTTTTCAGACGAATGGGCATGATCGTGGACGACATGATGCAGAACGACCAAGGGATGCCTTCCTGCAGGTCACTACCAGGTCTCAGTCCCGGTCAAACGCGGCTCTGTCAGCTGTACATGGACCATATGAACGCAGTCGCGCTTGGTGCCAAACAAGCTCTGGGCGAATGCAAACACCAGTTCTACAATCGACGATGGAACTGCTCCTTGCTAGAAGATGATGCTAACGTGTTTGGGCCCGTCATTACGATAGGTAGGTATTTTGCTTAGTTCTAAATTATCATCCGGACGGAGAAGTATCACTTCAAATTAAATCCAGCTCTCTCTTGTCTCTTGTATCATTGTGATATTACAGCATTTTCCGCCACCGTGGTCATAGGCCTGATTCTAACTGAAGTTCAATGCTTAAAATTAATTCCGAGAAAACGTAAGGTGAAGAAGACGAAAAGTTGGAAGAAGATGAAAAAAACCTGAAACAAAAATGCAATATGGCGCCGGGTTCCATTTTAACGCAAGCCGAATTGCTTACCTCTGTTGGAGTGTGGCCTAAAAGTGTCGGCTAGAACGCCGTAAAAGCGTCGAAGACTCCCGTCTCCCACATCCCCGTAGGATTATATGAGACATAAAAAGGAAGAACGCTTAGACTTCATTTGGCGTAAAGATCCGCAAAATGCGTGCTTCTCAACAGAGCTACGACCAAAAAGTGAAGTCTCTTCAACTTGGACACGGAACACAAAGTTCGAGAGGAGCACTGGAGCAATGGAACAACAGCGGACTGTTCCCGGACTGAAAGGACCGAACACTTGTCAAAATGTAACATTGAGGTTAGGAAATAAACGAAGACGTAAACAATTCTCAGATGAAGGGGCCTCAACTAGAAAATGAGATAATAGGTGGAGAGTTACGTATAAACCATAGAGAAAATCTTCAGGTAGTTAAACTAGAAATATGTCTACCCTTGTTTAGTGTTTACGATTATTGCAGGGTCACGGCAGTTCCTACAAGGTTTTCAAATTAAACCCGTAACATGTTGCCTTGCTGTCATACATATACGAGGTCTGTAAATTAAGTGATGAAACTGGCTTTTTAAAACATTTTATAAATTTTTATTCAAATATAGTAACGGTTCTTACACTCCTTATTGTTGGTGCTCCCATACTGTCTTAAAATGAGTTCTATTGAGGTGATTCTTTAACTTCGAGGAGAGAAAAAGTCACGAGGACTCAAGTCAGGCGAATATGGGGGCGGAGGAGCTACAGGAATGTTTTTACTGGCCAAAACATGTTTATTGATATTACTGTATGACAAGGAGCATTATTGTGATGTTGTTCTTGATTTGATGTAACACAAGATCCCGGATTCTGGCTCTTGAAGATGAAGGTTTAATGCTTTAAACCAACGAAAAACCAGGTCTCCTGTCTATCTCCGTAGGCCTGTTTATCAAGAACACAATACAAAATATGTCGAAATTATCACGGCAACCAGTCAGCATCGAAATTAATTTCAATATCCGAAATTCAGTTAGAATCAGGCACCAGGTGCCTGGCGGTTTATGCTACCAAAGAGCTTCAATCGACAAAGTGATATTCATGGGCTGATTGTGAACATTCTGTTGAACATAATTGAATATTGCTGCTAATGGCTAATATATTAAAACAACCACTTGGCTCTGATTACTATCTCCTAAATCTAATCAAGGTATCTGCTACGAAAAAAGTGCTCCTTGTCGAGCTTTGGTACTAATTAAACGCCACTTGTTAAATAAATGCGTATTGCCATGTCTGAATCCTAATCTGATGATTAAGAGAGGCGTTTAAGCACGTCAACAACTCAAGAAATTTTTAGCATTCGTGAAAAACATAAAACTAAGACACATCTTGTAAGGATCTGCTATAGAACAGTGCAGTTTCGAACAATATTAAAAAGGCATAATAAAGGGTGTCTCAGAAATATTTTCGTTTTTAGATCAGTCCTCTGGCGGAATACGCATGCTCCGGAGAAACGAGACAGTTGACAAACGTTTGGCAACATTGTTAAATTTTAGTTGCAATGGAGCGTTTTACAGGGCCGCAACGTGCTTTTTGTGTTCGCGAGTTCTATAAAAACAAGGATTCTTATGTGCTTGTACGTCGTTTGTACAGAAATCATTATAACATAGCAAGAATGAGAGATGTCCCAAGCGCAAATTTAATTAAATATTGGGTAAGAAAGTTCGAGAGCACTGGAAACACGTGTATTAGTAAACCGCCTGGACGGCCAAGGTCAGCAAGATCGAACGAAAATATTGAACGTGTGCGCCAGTCCGTTAACGAGGATCCCCGGCAATCATTAAGACTGCGTGGAGCATCTCTAACTTTGCATAAGTCAACTGTTCATCGCAATATTCGCAAGGATTTGCATTTTCACCCATACAAGATTGTTGTTACACAACAATTAAAACCACAAGATCCCGCTAATCGATTAGAGTTCTGTAGAACAATGAGAGAGCATTTTAACGGTTACAACAACATATGGTTTTCTGATGAATCGAATTTTCACATTAACGGGCATGTTAATAAACAAAACTGCCGATATTGGGCCGAGCAGAACCCGCAAAATCTTCATGAGACGCCATTACACTCGCCTAAAGTTATCGTCTGGGCTGCTATGTCAGGGCAAGGAATCATTGGCCCGTATTTTTTTGAAGACAATCGTGGCCAAGCTCAAACTGTAACATCTGAGCGCTACTGCCACATGATTAGGACTTTTTTAACTCCAGCTATACAGAACCATGGTGGCTACAATAGAAACACGTTTTTCCAGCAAGATGGAGCGACTTCTCATGTCACGAATGAATCCTTGGATGCTCTTCATCAGTTATTCCCAGAGAGGGTCATCGGTCGCAGAGGAGACATTAACTGGCCACCGAGAAGTCCCGATTTGACACCAGCAGACTTTTTCTTATGGGGATACCTGAAGAGTAAGGTATACACCCCACCGCCACAAGATTTGAGAGAGTTGAAGCAAAAAATAACAGATGAAATAAACGCCATTCCTCGAGCAATGCTTCGGAGAGTGATCGAAAACTTCAGTTCGAGATTAAGAGAGTGTGAAAACATGAACGGTGCTCATTTATCCGATACTCCTTTCCATAAATAAAATTAATGTTTAGGCTTTCGTTTGGTAATAAATTTATCTTTGTAAAAATATTCTAAGTATTTTTATTTATGGCATAAAATAAGAAAATATTTATGAGACACCCTTTACTTTCAACTTTTTGATATTGATCCTTTTCAAAATGAGGTCTGCTTGGAGGTGAGCTTTATAGCTGATGCTCACCAGGTAAAATAAATGCCTATTATTATTATTATATCACATTACAAAGTATCTATAGTACATCTCGAAAATACTAAAATGCTTATTTATATTACACACCATACTATATTTTATACACTTAAGATTGGTTTTATTGTAAAATGAATACTTTTCATTTGTGTTCGTTATTGTTAATTCGTATAATTTGAGTGGCCCATGACAAGATTTCTCCGTACAACAAAGACGTTATTTATGTATTCATTTATTTATGGAACGTATCGATAGGAACTGCAAAAATAAAAAAATAATATGCAGGGTGTCTCAGTATAATATACCATGTATTTTTAGACTCAGAGTAAAAAGTTCGCAATAGTGCCTATATTAAATAGAATTGTAATAAATAATATCATACTGGTTTATTTTCGCTAAGTACGCTAAAAGAATTAATAAAACCCTTGGAAACCGCTTGATGCAACTCATTTTTCCTCTAGAAAACTAGTCAAGATGGCCTATTTTTCTAATAAACAAAAGTCGAAATAAATGAAAAAATCTGCTAAATGAAAAAAATCAGAGTCGTCGGGAAAGTAGCCAAAAAATTGTGCTATAATTTATGTGGTAGTGGGGACAGTTTTCATCCTTCGTGAACCGTTTAGAGTTTTTCGTAAAAGCCAAATTTCAGAACGTCCAACAGAACACGTGTGTCCAAATTTCACTCGAATCGGTTCTTAAAATATCTGGAAAAATGTGTTTCAAAAAGAAAACCTTGACGCCTCCTAACGGAAAAATAAAGCACTTTTGTCCAATCGACTTATTTTGAGTCTGGAAATACGTTGTACTTCTTTGTCCACCAAATATTGGGTTACTAGATAAGCAGAGGTTTGGTTAGTGTAAACGTTTTACTCGTATGCCGGTTTCCTTTGACGCCTCTAGTGAATAATGTAATTTTGTTCCATCTTCATATTTTCCTGGCCGAACAATAAATAGAAAAATTAATTTCCTAAAACGAAAAATAGTAGCATAATACATCGTCAACCATCGCTAACACAACGGAATCAGTGCGCAACGACTTTGTCCGACTATAACTTTTCGATCGCCCCGACGGTCTCAGTAATAAATGAAAATATTGAAAAAAGTATTCATTTTTGGAGGCGCCGAAAATTGTGGGGCAACACTCTCTATAATGCTCCGGCTTTGCGACGCTCGTAGTAACATCAGTGGCGGCTCGTGAGGTAGTGCCACGGTGCCATGGCACTACCTTGTCTTCTTCAAAAAGAATATTTTTTTCAATCTTCAATGTTTTACTTTATTTTTTGCTTTTTCATTTTTTTTTGGTATAAATTATATGAAGTGACAACACTGACAACGTGACAACACCGCAAGCACCCGAACACGCGACGAGATATAAAGCATGCCTTGACCTTGACGTCATCAACTTGTGCCAATGTCGGGCCGGCCCAAATAAAAAGAGAGAAATTTTACCAGCATCGCATACGAGCGACAGAGATAACGCTACAATACACATTTTTATATGAGGTGAATAGCGAAAGACAAGTATAATTTGTGCCAGGCACATCATCAGTCGTAATTCGTTATCAAATGATATCGGCGGTGTTTTTGTTCGGTCGGTCGTTTCGTTATGATTACGTCTAGTGCTGATTTCGGTCTTTTTTTACCTGAAAAGTGAGAAATAACGTTTTTGTTTTAGTACGTCTAGTGTTAATGAACTGCTCTGTTTTGTGATCATATTTTTTACTGTTTTATTAAAACTAGTGAAAATGAATAAAATCGGGATATTAAAAAACTCATTTAGTGGTTTTTCGCTGGATCAAAAACTGCAAATTAAAGAATTAGGACGGCCAATACCCGATTTAAAAATTGAGAAACAAAGTGGTAGCGGACAAAAATCGCGCTGTCGCAAATTTAATAAAAATGTGTACGATAAAAACAGCTGGATATGTG